TTCTGCCCACACCTTTTGCAGAAAAACAGCCCCAGGTCAGGATACTGCCACCACCAAACTTTACAGTTGGCAACGTGTTCTTTGGTAAGCAGGCTTCACCGTCCTTCCTCCACACATGATTTCGATAATTATGACCAAGCAACTCTATTTTAGTTTCATCTGTCCATAGTACTTTTTCTCAAAACGAATATTCTTTATCCTTATGCTCTCTAACGAATTTTAGTCTAGCATCTCTGTGTCGTTTCAAGATGAGTGGAGTCTTCCTTGGGATGCGTGATTTCAGACTGTTTTTGTGTAGTTCATTACTTATTGTACTCTTGGTTACTTTAATCCCTAATGCACGCAGATGTTCCTGCAGCTCTTCTCGGGTAACCTGTGGATTTTGGTGGATCTGGTATCCTAATATCCTTGCTGATCTTAGAGAAATCTTCCTCGGAGCACCTGTTCGTCTTTGGTTTTCGATGCTGTTACGAGTTTTAAACATTGCAATGAACGAAGCAATTGTAGTGAAAGGAATATTCAGGTTGTTAGAAATCGTTCTGTAACTGTTCCCATCTTTCCAAAGAGACAAAATGTGTTGTTTTTGTGAACTAGTCAATTCTTTACCTTTAGGCATTATTAGAACCTTCTCGTAAGACTAGAAATTGCAGAATGCTCTGATAATGGCGAATAGCGTTAATTATAGTTACTGATAGCATTACTGGAACATTCTAGAATATACTTTTTTCATAATTAATTGCTTATTTTATTCTAATAATTGATTTGTACGAATACTTTTTACACCAGTTAGAATTTAAAAAATGCATTAATTTCTGTTAGAATAAAAATTAATTAAGTTTATTATTATTTTTTAATAGTATATGTCTTTATACATAAAATGTGCCAAGATTAATTTATTTAAGGCTTTTACATTTATAAAAATACAATTTTTCAAGTGTACGAATATTTATTTCCCCCCACTGTGTATATATATATATATATATATATAGATAGATAGATAGATAGATATTATAAACTGTTACATTGGATCAAGCTAGTTACCACGACAATAATGCATATTTGTTTCGACGTTGAAAAACGTCTCGTCAGGCGGCTAACAATGGTGGTAATAAAGGATTTATTTAAAAATACAATTTATTTTACAGCCGCCTGACGAAACGTTTTTGGATTTCAAAAATTGTGTTTTTAAATAACATCGTTTATTTCCACCATTGCTAGTCGCCTGACGAGACGTTTTTCGATGTCGAAACAAATATGCAAATCTGTCGCGGTAACTTACTTGATCCACTGTAACAGTTTATCATAAATATTTATTGCTCTACTCTTGTATTGAGCCCTTTTTCAAATTAACGTTTGAATTTATTCTTTTTCTTTCTTTTCTTTTATATATATATATATATATATATATATATATATATATATATATATATACAAATGTATAAGAACGAAAAGAATATAAATATATCTCAATCTATAAAAGGCAGGGTGTGTGTGTGTGTGTGTGTGTGTGTGTGTGTGTGTGTGTGTGTGTGTGTGTGTAACGAATGCACGGCCGCAATTTTCGACGGATTTGCGCCAAAATTTACATGCAAATGCTCCAACTTAGCCGGAAGGCCAAGACCGACTTTGCATTTCCCAACTCCCATCGATAGTGGAAATAATCGATTTTTTTTCATGCTTCTATGCCAGTTTTCATGTAGTTTGCGGCCATTTTGTACTGGCCAGAGTGAGAGCCAATAGCTGGTTGCCACGAATAGGCAGGAAGATTCTATTGGCCAGCGTGAGAGACAACAGCTGACTGACACGAATGTTAACTATCCTGCTAGCATGCAAAAAAAAATCGATAGCTGCATTCGTCACAAGTGGGAAAAATTTAAATCTGCATGGCACTTTATTCCAATTGGCTCATTCGCTTGCTTAAACTCAACGTTGATTCTGATTCCGCAGAACTGGTTTGGGTGTGAAAAAATATTTGTTGTTAACATTCTTTTTCATTCGGTTTTTCCAGTTACGAGTCCTTTTTTAAAGCTGATCATTTCGTCTTCATTTTGTTTAGTTCTTTTTTCGTAACAGATTTAAGGTTTAGTATAGAGCTTAGAAAAAATTCGCAGTGTGAGATAGGCAAGAAGTAAGGCATGTAGCAATATCAGCACGGCAAAGGGCACTCGTTTAAAGGTAAGGGAGGGCAAAAATATTTTAAGTCAAGTGGTAGCGATTGCTGTATGAGTCGTACGATTTTTGAATTAAGCACGGACAACGCCGGGCCATGCTCCTAGTAATATAATATATATATATATATATATATATATATATATATATATGTAAATTGAAAAATGTATATATAAATTGAATATTTTCTTCCGTGTTTGCTTAGGATGACGCTCTCACATCCATAGGCACACATACATACAGGTGTATGCATTTTACTTTGTACAAGCACACCCATATAAATAATCTGAGCTTAGGCGCAGATACACATTCATGCATGTATCTGCGCCTATACAGATACATATCCATCCATGTTAGCTTTTATCACAGATATTGAACCCTTTCCACTCAGTACCCGCATGAAAATACACATACCTGCACATATATATATATATATATATATATATATATATATATATATATATATATATATATATAAAATCTTATAAATATAAGTAATTATACTTGTCTGGAAAAACCTCAGGTATTTTGGCTTGTAAATGAACAAACCAATACCCAAGGAAAAATAAGGAATAAAAAAAGAAAGAACTAAGAACATGTAATTGAGGCGAAAACAATCGTCCAGAATCCAAGTTCAGAGCTCAAAGAAAAACTTCCAACACGAGTAAAGCAAAAATAACTAAGCAAAGTACTCAATACACTAAGTAGATCAAATCTAACTATGAACCTAAAAAGCCAGGCAAACCTACCTAGGTTTACCCTACGCAACTTTTGTTTCGACGTGTAACACGTCTCATCAGAAAGTTAAAAATGATGGTAAAAAACGTTTCTTACCATCATTGCTAACTTTCTGATGAGACATGCTAAACATCGAAACACAAAATGTAATTTTGTAGTAGTAACTTACCTGTTCTAATGTAACAGTTTATAAATAGATATTGATTGCTCTACTCTTGTATTGAACCCTTTTTCAAATTAATGTTATGAACGTTTGAATTTATATTCTTTTCGTTCTTTTACATTTGTATATATATATATTACCCCCTCTTCCTCAATATTAAGTATAGTAATAAAAATAAATTTTAAAACTCTCCCTCCCCTCTCTAAACTCAACCATGTCTCTCACATTATTCCTTACCACCCTCTATGTCAGCTTATATAAACTTAATACTGCCCGTCAAAAGTGTAAATTTTAAATTCATTTTTCGTTTCACCTTTGAAAGTGAAGTCAGAAGATCCAGAGAAAAATAAAATTCTCTGGTAAAATAAATTATAACTAATGGAGTCTTAAAGTAGTCTGTTTTTCTTTAAATTATATACAGGAGAAACGGTGGAGTAATGGATAGCGGCTTGGATTGAGGATTTCCAGTCGACTCCATTACATTCACTTACGTGCTAATCCTCTTCTTCTCCCTCCAGCTATGGGTAAAATAGCAGGACAGACTGGATGGCAACTGGTCTAGGAGAAGGACAACTCTGAATTCATAACCTGCGGAGGGTCGTTTGAGAATCTTGTGGCACTTAGTGCACCAGGTCTCTGTATTCGTCCCTTCAAAAAGTGTGGATGGTCCTGCACAAGGCCTTCACCACTATAATCAAATCTCATGTGCCGGTGTCGGGCTGTCGGTTTCCTGGAAACTGATCTGCTTGACCCTCATACGTCGAATCTCGGCAGGAGAGTCGACTATATATATATATATATATATATATATATATATATATATATATATATATATATATATATATATATATATATATATATATATGACGTCATTTGTTTACATTTGATACGCCAGAGCAGTTATGAATGTACGAGATTCATGGAAGATAGAAGTTTATAAGCAGTAAATTCGACCTTGCCTACCGGACGCTCCTTTGTGGCCGAGTCGGTTAAGGCACGTCAGCGTAAATGACGGTTCCGTATAGGATGCAGGTTCGAATCCTGTCAAAGGACGAATATTTTCTATGAAAATTTCTCGGACATTCAGGCTGGTAAATGTTATTTAATACTGTTTATTATAAACAGAGCATTTACTTAAATACTTGTATCTATGAAAAAAAAAGAACGTTAAACATATATATATAAATTGAATAAATGTATATATAAATTGAAGTCAAATGTCAGAGGCCATAGTCTCTTTCTTATAAAACCTAATCGTCCGGCTGTTTTATGTGCCGTGTCCCTTCAGGACGTAGGCAATCATGTAACTCTCAATAAGTTTTGTCTTTCTGCTATTTCCCAAGGGCATGTTCTGTCATCCACCCGCTTAAACCCGCTAGGTATATCATGCGTTGCCTTCCCTTGTCTCTCTTTCCCTCTATTCGACCTGTGAGTATCAGATTCTCCGAGCCCTCCTTTCTCATTACGTGCCCCAGAAACTTCAGCTGCCTCTTTCTGATGTTAAGCATAAGATTCTTCCTTGTTTGCATTCTCTCCATTGCTCACACGCTCAGTCTATGATATCCTTAGCATCCTTCTGTAGAACCATACCACCGTTGCCTCGAGTTTCTTGTTCATCATTGAGGAGACGGTCCAACAATCGCTGCTGTAAAGGAGGACAGCACTTTTTATATATACAGGTCAGTAATGCATTGTGGGTAGTATATTGCATTGTGGGTAGGCTTTTGTATTATTCTAACGGTTATTTTGGTGGGTGTGGTTTGTTAATTTGTTTATTATTTACTTAATCTATTTACATATTTGTGCAGATTAATTTATTTTACTTGTTTTTTTATTTATTTTCGTTGTTTTTTTATTTATTTTACTTGTTTTTTATTTATTTTAATTGGTTTATTTTTAATTATTCTTGTTGTTCAACTTTTATTTGTAGCTATTCCTTTTGCATTCACTTTTTTTCTTTCTGCTTTCTTTCTTTTTTTCTTTCATTTTAGGGATTCCATTTACATTCTTTCTTTATTTCTTTGTGGATAGACTTTTTGCATGCTTTCTTTTTTCTTTCTTTCTTTTTAAGTATTCATTTTGCATTCTTTTTTCTTTCTTTCATTATTTGTAGCTATTCCTTTTGTATTCTTTCTTTTTAGGTATTCATATTCTTACTTTCTTTTTAGGTAGTCATTTTGCATTCTTTCTTTATCTCTTTCTTTCTTTCTTTTTAGGTAGTCATTTTGCATTCTTTCTTTATCTCTTTCTTTCTTTCTTTCTTTTTAGGTAGTCATTTTTGCATTCTTTCTTTTTTCTTTTCTCTTTCTTTTTTTTCTTTTTTTAGGTAGTCATTTTGCATTCTTTTCTTTTTATCTCTTTCTTTCTTTTTAGGTAGTCATTTTGCATTCTTTTTCTTTATCTCTTTCTTTCTTTCATTTTTCATTTTTCTTTAGTCATTTTGCATTCTTTTTTTTATCTTTTTTTTTTTTCTTTCTTTCTTTCTTTTTTTTAGGTAGTCATTTTGCATTCTTTCTTTATCTCTTTCTTTCTTTCTTTCTTTTTTTAGGTAGTCATTTGCATTCTTTCTTTATCTCTTTCTTTCTTTCTTTTTAGGTAGTCATTTTTGCATTCTTTCTTTTCTCTTTCTTTCTTTCTTTTTTTTAGGTAGTCATTTTTGCATTTCTTTTTCTTTATCTCTTTCTTTCTTTCTTTTTAGGTAGTCATTTTTCATTTTGCTTTATCTCTTTCTTTCTTTCTTTCATTTTCTCTTTCTTTTTCTTTCTTTTTTTTTTTTAGGTAGTCATTTTGCATTCTTTCTTTATCTCTTTCTTTCTTTCTTTTTAGGTAGTCATTTTCATTCTTTCTTTTCTCTTTCTTTCTTTCTTTTTTTAGTCATTTATTCTTTCTTTTTCTTTCTTTCTTTTTAGGTAGTCATTTTGCATTCTTTCTTTATCTCTTTCTTTCTTTCTTTCTTTTTAGGTAGTCATTTTGCATTCTTTCTTTATCTCTTTCTTTCTTTCTTTTTAGGTAGTCATTTTGCATTCTTTCTTTATCTCTTTCTTTCTTTCTTTTTAGGTAGTCATTTTGCATTCTTTCTTTATCTCTTTCTTTCTTTCTTTCTTTTTAGGTAGTCATTTTGCATTCTTTCTTTATCTCTTTCTTTCTTTCGTTTTAAGTATTCCTTTTACATTCTTTCTTTTTTTCGTCCATTTTTGGGATTTCATTTTGCATTCTTTCTTTTTCTCTCTCTTTCTTTCTTTGTGGGTATTACTTTTGCATTCTTTCTTTTTTCTTTCTATCTTTTTATGTATTCATTTTGCATTCTTTCTTTCTTTCTTTCTTTTCATTTTCTTTCTTTCTTTTTAGCTATTCCTTTTGCAATCTTTCTTCTTTTTTTTCTTTCTTTTTATGCATTCATTTTGCTTCCTTTATTCCACCTTTCTTTGTAAATATCAATTTTGGATACTTTCTTTCTTTCTTTCTTTCTTTCTTTCTTTCTTTCTCATTACTTCTACTCTCTTTTTTTATTGTATGCTTTCTTTCCCTCGACTCTTCCGATTTTTTCGTCAGTTTATTATTCTTTCTCTCTCTCTTTTTCTGTATGTCTGTGTATCTACCTCCTCCCTCTCTCGGGCGCACTTTTTCCCTTTTTCACTCTTCAGATTACACATCTTTCTCAAATTCCTGATGTCATTTCTTGCTACTTCTCCCTCCTTCCTTCCTTCTTTCCTTTCTTCCTTCCTTTCTTTCTTCCATATCCCCCTCCCTCCAACCACCTGTGAATCCACTTACCAACAACAGATGTGTTCACTTTTCGGGAAACCCTTTCTCTGGATCAAATTGCTAATATCCCATCAACATTTTTGGCACTGTCGACAATCTTAGCCAACGATCATTTATCTCAGAAAAACAACCACAAAACACAAACTTGTTTTTAAAGCAACAAATAGGAAAATAAAATAAAAGCTTTCAGCAAAAGACAAATGTTTATGAAAAAAATGATCAAATTTCATTTCTTTTAAAAGGATTTATTTCTTTCTTCTTTTTTTTACTTTTGTCTTATTCTGGAATTTAAATAATATCATCCTGTATATATATATATATATATATATATATATATATATATATATGTGTGTGTGTGTGTGTGTGTGTGTGTGTGTGTGTGTACCTTCACATGCCCGCAAAAATTGAATTTTAAAAAAATGAGACATCGTTATTGAAGCTTATATTTTAGTTTTCATTTCAAGCTAATAGATCAAATTTAACGTTTCCAATAAGCAAAATACTTTTCTGTATTTCAAAAACTAATTTAAATTGACTAGAATGAGTTTTTAATCCCTAAAAATCGCTGATTTCAGTGCCATTTAACCATCTCTCAGTATAATGTAATTGTCATTATTAAAAAGTCTTTCAAAAATAAAAATAAAATATTTTTCTGAAACTTTATTTGAGGAATATTAGCTGATTTAAAGTTTAATTTATTTGATTTGAAACATGTTACTTACCTGTAGTTTAAAATACCGCAGAAATGCATACTCTAACGTAGGTGTTATTTATGCTTTTGACAAGTTGACTGTTTGATTAACAGGCGGAAGTTCATCTATTTTTTTTTCTTCGGGTGACATATATAATGTGCACGCCATTTTTATATAATTTTTAACTGCCCAGTCAGTTATGTGCCATACAGTGTACACGCTTAGGCGATCATGTATCTTTCGATACATAGCTGACGAGGCAGATTTTTTTTCCGCAGTAGGTTGCCATTTATTTCTGCGGTAGACCAGTTGCCGTTAAAATCTCCGAAAATATTATCCGTAATCTAAAGTTTTAATTAATTTTGCAATAGTTATCGTTCTTATTTTTTAATAATGTCGTGTATGGACGTCTGCATTTACAAAAATTCAAAATTCTTTTTAAAATATTGGGTGTCATTGAATTGTTGTAAGCTTTTCCATTTACAATTAGTAAATACAGTTTTTACTTATTAAAATTATCACGTAACCGGTTCAAAATAATCCAGAAATTTAAAAGATTTAAAATTTTATAAATTAATGTAAAAAAATATAAAAACAATTCTTGTAAAAATTGATTCATCGGAAAAAATATTTTTAAAGACAATAATATATCTTATTCATGAAATCAATTAAAAGTTTTTCTAATTAAATAATGTCTCAGTTTTATTACATTTATGTTTTACGATTCAGAGCAGATTTTCGGGAACTGGCGATCGCGTTTTACAAAAGTTCTGATTTTAACTGATATAAACATTAAACGGGACAAAATTTAATTTCTCGAAATATATAATGAAATCAAATAAGTGGGGTAACAGCTGTAAAATATATTTTTAACAAGATTTTCTAAAAAAAATAATTTCGAAAATAATTTCATTCATTTATGTAAAAATGCTGAAATTTTAATTAAAATTCAACAATTCTTTGATTTCTGCAAGAAACACTAAAATTTCCTAAACTTTGGTACCAAAATTTCGAACGTTTTAAAAAAAATCAAAAAACATAATTTAATAATAGAAAAAAATAAAATTGTTTTTATTAAGTTTTGAGCATTTTTTCATCATGGTATGCTAATTTTTTAGGCGAATCAATGGAGATACCTAATACATATATATATATATATATATATATATATATATATATATATATATATATATATATATATATATATATATCAGTTCTATGAATAAGTAATATAAAAGATTGAGCGACGCAAAAAATGAACTTCTCAAAATTCCATAAAATTAAATAAGTGGGTTTAACAAATGTTAAACTGTTTTTTACCAAGTCTTTTTTCTAAAAAAGAAACGTTTCTAAAATAATTTCATTCATTTGTGATTAAGTGCTGAATATTTCATTCAAATCTGACAATTATTTTATTTTTGCAAGAATTTTCAAATCAAGGTTTTTCCTTGCAAAAAGTTCTGATACTAATTTTTGGTACCCCCATTAGAGCAAAAAAAAAAAACAAAAAAACAAATTCGAGCGTCCTAAAAAGGAACAAAAATATCATTTAATAATTAAGAGAATCGTTTGGTCTTTCTTCTTGATAATAGCATAAAGATATTGAAGATAAAACTTTCTTTTTTTAAGTTTGGGGTCATTTTTTCCATCATGGTATGCTTATCTTTTAGCGAATCAGTGGTGGTACATAAAAACTGAAACATGTTAGATTGATACAGGTTTCTTATTTGTTCTTTATCTTATCACACACACACACATACACACTGTATCTCATTCTCTGATGAAGCTTTAATAAAACTGAAACATGTTATATTGATAAATGTTCCTCTTTGTTTTTTTATCATATCATTCTGTCGGATTCCGATTCATATTTAATCCCAATTCATATATATATATATATATATATATATATATATATATATATATATATATATATATATATATATATATATATATATATGATGTGATGAGAACGAAAGTAATATATAAATTCCAACGTTCACAGCAGTAATCCAAAAGAGGGCTCGATACAGATAGTAGAGCGATAATTATTATTATTATTAATATTTTCGATTATCACCCGTCGAAGTGCAGTTGAAATGCACTGAAACCAAGTTGCATCTTTGTAGTCAGTAAAATGGTTTTGTCTTTATGATAAAATTATAATATATATATATATATATATATATATATATATATATATATATATATAATAAAAACACGAATATTCCATGGCTCTGTTAAGCTTTAATCTCCCACCTTCTCTCGTCTGTTACCCATCTCTTTAGCTCTAACATTCGTCCCACACTCTCATACTTACACTCTCTCTAAATTCTATTTTTATTTCCGGAGTTGTTCTTTTCTGTTTTCTCTTTGAATTTGTAGGTCTGATGAATTGGATCGTATTTACGATTCCAATGGAATAAATTATGACCATGGAATATTAGTGTTTAAGCCTTTTTTTATATCCTTACTCTGTCCTGGACATTGAGTTCTACCTGGATTCTATCCTCTGGGAATTTTTTATTCAAAACATACATGTATGTGTATGCACCTATGTATATATATTTATATATGTTGCATATGTATGTATATTTACCAATAATATTAGCTATATATATATATATATATATATATATATATATATATATATATATATATATATATATATATATATATATAATCGTATATATTGTATATAAAAGATGTCTTATTTATTTACAATTTTATTTATTCTTGGTACGGAAAATTATTTCTTGACGTTTTTTGATATTGTGATAGCCTGAGACAGGAAACACCAGATTCGTAAATATTGTCTATACTCGAGTAAAGTACGAGTTTTTTTCTTGTTTTTTTTTTTTTACGCAAAAAGTAAAGTGTCGCATTATACGCAGGTAATTTTTTTTAAGAGGTTGAATCATGCTTTTTCGATGACCAGTTGAACTATACAGAAGTCATATTTTTCTAGGGAGGTTAAATACGCATGCAAAATATTTCAGGGGGGCACTATACGTGAAATTGTCTCATACATGGATATATACTGTATTCAGATAGACATCAAATAAAAACAAAAAAACATGAATGATTAAAATAACTTCTTAAAATAATTATTAATTTTTAAGAAATCCTTAATTTTTATGAGTAAATAATAAAAAAAATATTTAGTCTCGTCATAAATAAATAAAAAAAATAAATAAAAACATATTTACCCCATCATAAGTAAATGAAATATTAAATAAAAATTTATTTACACCCGTCATAAATAAGTAAATGAAATAATAAATAAAATATTATTTACACCCACTCATCAATAAATAAATGAATAAGATAACAGATAAAAAATTTATTTACCCCTGTCATAAATAAATAAATAAATTAATACCTAAAAAAATTATATACCCCAGTCATAAATAAGTAAATGAAATAATAAATAAAAAAGTATTTACCCTCCCCGTCATAAATAAATAAATAAAATAATAAAAAATTACTTACCCATGTCATAAGTTAATAAAATATTAAATAAAAAATTATTTACCATCGTCATAAATAAATAAAATAATGAATAAAAATTTATTTAGCCCCGTCATAAATGAATGAATAAAATAATAAATAAAAAATATTTACCCCAGTCATAAATAAGTAAATGAAATGTGAAATAACAATTTATTTATCCCGTCATAAATGAATAAATAAAATAATAAATAGAATTTATTTATCCCTGTCATAAATTATTTACACCCACTAATCAATAAGTAAATAAATAAAATAATAAAAAATTATTTACCCTCACTCATAAATAAAATAATACATAAAAAATTATTTACCCCGTCATAAAAAAGTAATGAAATAAAAAATAAAAAATATTTACCCCCGTCATAAAAAGTAAATGAAATAATAAATGAAAAATTATTTACTCTCACTCATAAATAAATAAATAAAATAGTACATAAAAAATTATTTACCCCCGTCATAATTAAGTAAATGAAATAATAAATAAAAATTTATTTAGCCCCGTCATAAATAAATAAATAAAATAATAAAAAAATATTTACCTACGTCATAAATAAATAAAATAATAAATAAAAAATTATTTACCCCCGTTATAAGTAAGTATATGAAATAATAAATAAAAAAGTATTTACCCCACTCATAAATTAATAAAATAATAAATAAAAAAATATTTACCCCCGTCATAAATAAGTAAATGAAGTAATAAATAAAAATTATTTACCCTACTCATAAATGAATAAATAAAATAATAAATAAAAAAATATTTACCCCCGTCATAAATAAATAAATAAAATAATAAATAGATTTTTGATAAAAATTATTTTAAGAGAAATATTTTATAAATTTTAATCAGCATTAATGACAACTGATTGGTAAATGATTAACGAATATTTCATCATA